TAGTAGGGGACCGACTCGTCAAACGTGACGTCTTGGGAGGACAGAACACGGCGAGAGGTGGGGTGGTAGAACTGCCACCCTGGCGAGTCAGGGGGAAAGCTAAGGAAGACGCAGGGAGCAGCACGAGGGGACAGCTTCGACGCAGACAAGTCGCGGACAAACGCCCGAGATCCCCAGACACGGAACGCAGACGCATCGCCAACCTTTCCCGTCCACAGCAAAGCTGGGGAGGTCTCCGACATGGAGACCCTGGGCTGAAGGTTGATCTGATGCGCCGCGTACCGAACCGCAAACGGCCACAGAAAATGGGGGGCAGCCGCATGCACCATGGACGTACGGGCGACGTCCATGACCATGCCAATGCGGTGCTCAGCAATCTTATTTTGTTGTGGAGAGTCCGGAAGCGTGAAGGTCTGGCGAATGCCTCGTGCACGACAGTAGGCTCGCAGAAGGCCAGAGGAGAACTCTCCGCCTCTGTCGGAGTGCAGACGCAGAACAGGAAAGTCCGAGCCGAAACTCTTCCTGAGCTGGAGACGAGCTGCGCGGATCCAGTCGAGCAACACCTCAGTGACATCACCCTTGCTGCACAAGGGGAAGACTGTGGTGTAACGCGAGTAGTCGTCAACCACCAGCAGGAAGTAGCGCTCGTGACCCTGTCCACGGACGCGGGCGGGGCCCCACACGTCCACGTGAAGCGTCTACAGCGGGGCCTCTGTCGGAGGAAACTGGGAGGAGTTAGGGGCAGCACGCTGCCGCCCCTCGACGCAGGGAACACAGGTAGGGGCAGGCCCCGGAGGAAGGGGAGGGAGGTACCGGGGGAGACCAGAGACCAGGACACGTGAGGCCATGCCTCGGAGACGAGGCAGGGAGGGGTGACCAAGGCGGTGGTGCCAGAGGAGAGTCTCGTGAGACAGGAGACGACACGAGCAAGGGGCAGACTCAGGACCAGACTTGGACGCTGCAGCAAACACCTGACCCGACGCAGCTACCTGACCAGACGCAGGGACCGGAGGAGACTCAGCGGTCAGTGTGTACAGGCTCGACCCCGGCCGACGGGTAAACGTGGCCAAGTGTCGGCCTGTCCGAGCGCACGTGCAGTGGGTCACTCGCTGGCTCGCAGGAGTGAACTGGTAAACCCCCGCATCCTGTAGGTCAGCACCACTCACCAAGTTCGTAGAGAACGAGGGGAGGTAAAGACCAGACAGGGTGCCAGAGGGGGCCGCCGGACAGGGTAGGACAGTGGAGAAGTGGGCAAGGACAGCACCCCCAGAGGGGTCTGCCAGAGAGACTGCAACGGGCCGACTAAGCGGCGTGAGTAGGGTGCGGTCTCGAAAGAAGGAGCGGGACGCCCCCGAGTCAAGGGTGAAGGTGTGGGAGGCCGAAGATGACGCGGTACCTGAGAGAGCAGACTCACCAGCACCTGAGGAAGGAGACTCACTGGCACCTAGAGCAGCAGCCTCACCAGCACCTAGAGCAGCAGCCTCACCAGTACCTAGAGCAGCAGTCCCAATGCCCGGGTCGGGCGGAAAACACGGATAACAGTCACCCTCATCACTAATAGTCACAGCATACATGGCAGCAAGAATAGCATCATAATCAAGATCAAAGATAGGAACCCCCGCCCTAGACAGCTCGCCCCAGCGAAGGATCTCAGTGGCCTCAGGGAACTGGTGACGCCAAGCGTCCGTCAGGCGGCCAAAGCAGCGCTGGGTGGAGTGCGTACCCCCGCACTGCTCACCCGCGCGGTCGCCGGTGCGTAGGACGTAGGTGCACGGACCAGTACCCCCACCCCGCTGACGTGCAGCTTACCACTCACGAAGCTGCTGAGGGGGAGGGATCTCACGAGTGCGTTGCTGCTGCTACTGCTGCTGCTGCTGGCGCTGACCACCACCGGAGCCGACCCTCTGCGCAGCGCCACCCTGACCAGCTCCACCTCCTCCGCCGCCACCTCCTCCACCGCCGCCACCTCCGCCACCTCCGCTCCCACCGCCACCGCCGCCGCCGCCGCCGCCGCCTCCGCCTCCACCGCCGCCACTGATGCCCCCACCCCCGCCACCACCCCCACCGCCACCCCCACTCCCTCCACTGCCTCCACCGCCGCCTCCACCGCCCCCGCTAGCTCCTCCAGCGCCCTTTCCCCCCTTGCCCTTGCCAGTGCGGCGTCTCCCGCTAGGGGCAGACGCCGCACCGACCGACTCAAGACCAACGAGGTCGGCCGCAGCAGCAGAGGCAACAGAGGGCAAGAGGGGAGAGGGGGAGCACCCCTCAAACACAGGGGCACGAGGGTCACCACGAGAGGCTCCTACAGCGACTATGCTCTTCTCTGCCGCTAGGAGGCGCTCCTCGAGGAGGTCAACGGTGAGGGTGGTGGGGCAAACAGAGAGAAAGTGGTCCCTGACCGGGCGAAGGGTAACAGGGAGCCGGGTGACTATGTAGTAGAGGGTGATGTACATAGGGGAGGGGTTCTTGGCGCAGAACTCAGGAGGAAGGGCAGTGCAGTAACGAATGTCACTAGTGCGAAGGTGCGTAATGAGGTCAGCGACTGTGGGAAAAGCGGCGAGGTCTGGGAAGAGGTACGGCAGGATGAGGCGGCTAAGGGCAGCAGTGGCAGGGGAAGAGTAGGGTGCAACAACAGCGTCGTACAAGGTCTTAGCACTCTTGTAGTAACTAAAGTGTGCACGCTCAGCGGTAGGCAAGTGGCGGCGCACACCAAGACGGGCAGCAGCATCGCGTGTGGCCCACTGTGAGCGAACAGTGGCGTCAGCATCAGCAGCAGGGGCAGGAGAGGCACCAGAAGTGAGGTCAAAGAGGGAGAGACCGGCTGCCCTATCGCACTGTACGGAAAGCTGCAGGTCATCTACCCAGACGTCAAAGTCAATGGCCTGACCCTCAGTGTCAAAAGCTAGGACACTAGGGGTAGCCATGACAGCAGTAGACTAGCAGCGCGAGCAGCAGGCTAAGGGCAGTGCAGTGGTAGAGGCGGTGCTCTTACCGGGCAGGTGAGAAGAACCGAGGCTCGCTGGCAGGAACAGGGCCGCGACGGCAGTGACTGGGCGTAGTGGACAGGGCGGCTCGGGCGGCTCGGCGGCAGCGGCGGCTGGGCGACAACGGCAGCAACGGCGGCTCGGCGGCTCATCGGTTCGGCGACAACGGCAGCTCGGCGGCTCGGCGGCAACGGCGGCTCGGCGGCAACGGCGGCTCGGCGGCTTGGCTGCTCGGTGGTGACGGCGGGGCCGTGAAGGGCGGCAGGGCCGCTGAAGGGACGGCGGCGGGGCCGGGTGGGGTGGCGACGAGGCCGCTGAGGGCGGCGCGTAGGGGCCGCGAGGGCGGCGCGACGGGGCAGCGAGGGCGGCGTGACGGGGCCGCGTGGGCGGCGCGAGGCGACGGGGCCGCGAAGGCGGCGCGACGGGGCCGCGAGGGCGGCGTGATGGGGCAGCGAGGGCGGCGCGACGCGACGGGGCCGCGAAGGCGGCGCAACGGGACCGCAAGGGCGGCGCGATGGGGCTGTGAGAGGGGAGCGCGACTCAGGCAGGGTCTGTGTCGGGCAGGAAAAAAAAACGGTGGGCCCTAGGAACAGTTCCCACGAGGGAACCTGCTCGATACCATGAGAAAACTGGAACGAGAATGATTGCATTGAGCAGCATGAGGAGTACAAGTGCCAAACCCTAAAGTGTTGTACCCCATATAAGCTACCCCACTACAGCCTACACAGACTATAGTATATTAGTTTGCCATTACTCGACACTCAGAACCTCTGCCTGCCCATCACACCAAACTACGCCCCCGATATTGCGGGCCATTTCGCATTAGTCTCATGATCACACCCGTCACCGCCCACCTCCTCCTCCCTGCTGACTGGTATGTCAGCCCGTCCTTCCATGTTAGCCTTCTCCGCCCTTACGTACCCTCCACCATCCAACTGCCTCGCAACCGCCCAGCCAGCATGACACGACCACCCATCGAGCCCATCATCTCACCCGAAAAGATATTGAGCCACCGCATCCGTGACCCACGAGGAGCTCGAAGGATCGAATTTCTGATCCGCTGGAAAGACCGCACGCCCACGGAGGATAACTGGGTTCCCTTGGATAACCTTGAGAATCACCCTGTCCTCACCGAGTATCTTCGTAGCCGAAACTTCCGGGATGTACACGGGCTCTCGTAAGGAAGTCCTCCTTAGGGGGGGGGGGGGTAGTGTAAGGAAAATTCCTTTTCCTTAATTCGCGTCCCTGCTCAGCGCGTACACCACTGTTCCCGCCAACAGCACCCAATAGTAATCCGTTACCACTCGCGACACTCGCCTCGACACTGTTCCCGCCACTGTTCACGACGCGACCCAAGCTCACGGTTCGGTTGGTAACCCGCGCTCCGGACCTCCGCCTCGGCACTTCCCAACCTCGACGCCAGGCCCGTCGCGCACCCCAATTTCCACGCATTACCGTTACCATTGTAGTTTCGCTATATATTCTTCGGTCATGCCTTCGCTCATTGTACTCTTGCTTCGACAGTGCAATTCTCGTTCGCTCACTCAATTGCACTCGTAACAGCAATAGACTTTTTCCGCTCACGCTAATATATTGGTGTGATAGTGGAATAAATATACTGGTCACTCTTCTTACTGGTACAACCCACGCTTGCATCCGCGATACACGTGGATTCGGGGCTGCCGCAACAAGGCACACCCGCATTTGCCGCAGAAGGGGTTGAGGGACGGCAGATCTCACAAGTCCCACTCCCACCCCACAAGCTATGGTAATTACCTCATTCTTTTTCCAGGCGATGTTTGTTATTTTTAGAAATGTTCGCAAATGGGCAACAGCCGTGCTGCCAGTCATGAAGATCGAGCGCTCGCGTCGTCAGGCGCGGCGACAGCGACGAATGATATGCCAATCGATGAGGCGACAGACTTGGATAACTCTTGCGGGTGCTTCTATCTAGCATCATGTAACGGTCCGTTTTGCAAGCTTCACCAGCCCAACGAGGGATCCAATAACGAGGATATGGACCCCGAGGCGCCGGCGAGCTGTCGCACGGTGTCGTTCGACGCGTCGCAGGAAACGCATTACGTCATCGTCGTGCACGGCACGTTCGACGCGCCGCCTGTAGACGGGTCGCGCACGTGGTACCAGCCCGCGGCGCCCGGCGAAATCAATTTCTGCAGCAAGATCGACGCGCGCCTCGCGGAGGGACCGCTCGGCGGCGGGTGCGTGTGGCGCGAGCTGCCGGTGGAGCCGCCGGCGCGACTCCGCATTCCGTATCCGTTTCACTGGGACGGCACGAACACGCATGAAGGGCGCATCGACGCCTCGCACAAGGTTGTTACGCTAGTCACCAACTACGATACCCCGGAGCAACATGTAGTGACTCACGCGCGTACTATGGCCCCTGCTTTCTCCTCCTCGCCCTGAGTTGCCCAACTACACCGCGAATTCGTGTTCTTCTCCAGTTCTCCCCCTCCCCCGCACTCCGCACCTTCAACATCTCAAGCCACCACTCAACACACGTGCAATGACTCCGCGCTTCACTTCTCTCCTAACTCCCTCTTCCACCTTCTCCCACATCGGCTCCCTCCTCCCCCTTCGTCCCCCCTTTATCCTTCTCCCCCCCTCCCTCCCCCTCTTCCCCGCTCTCCCCGCCTCTCCCCCTCTCTCTACCCCCCTACTTTTCCTCCCCCTCTCCCTTCTCCCCCCACCCCCTTCCCCCGTCTCCCCGCTCTCCCCTCGCCCGCAACATCGCGGCCACAGCTGGCACCCTTGCTTATGCTGGCACCCTTGCTTATGCTGGCACCCTTGCTTATGCTGGCACCCTTGCTTATGCTGGCACCCTTGCTTATGCTGGCACCCTTGCTTATGCTGGCACCCTTGCTTATGCTGGCACCCTTGCTTATGATGGCACCCTTGCTTATGCTGGCACCCTTGCTTATGCTGGCACCCTTGCTTATGCTGGACCTCAGACGCACGGCGGCCCCTCTCCCTCAACCTCGCCCCACCTCATCCCCCCCTTCCCGCTCATCTCCCACCTTCCCCTCATCTCTCCCTCCCGCTCATCTCCCCCCTCCCGCTCATCTCTCCCTCCCGCTCATCTCTCCCTCCCGCTCATCTCTCCCTCCCGCTCATCTCCCCCTCCCCTTCATCTCCCCCCTCCCGCTCATCTCCCCCCTCCCGCTCATCTCCCCCCTCCCGCTCATCTCTCCCTCCCGCTCATCTCTCCCTCCCGCTCATCTCTCCCTCCCGCTCATCTCCCCCCTCCCGCTCATCTCTCCCTCCCGCTCATCTCTCCCTCCCGCTCATCTCTCCCTCCCGCTCATCTCCCCCCTCCCGCCCATCTCCCCCCTCCCGCTCATCTCCCCCCTCCCGCTCATCTCTCCCTCCCGCTCATCTCCCCCCTCCCGCTCATCTCTCCCTCCCGCTCATCTCTCCCTCCCATTCATCTCTCCCTCCCGCTCATCTCCCCCCTCCCGCCCATCTCCCCCCTCCCGCTCATCTCCCCCCTCCCGCTCATCTCCCCCCTCCCGCTCATCTCTCCCTCCCGCTCATCTCTCCCTCCCGCTCATCTCCCCCCTCCCGCTCATCTCTCCCTCCCGCTCATCTCTCCTTCCCGCTCATCTCCCCCCTCCCGCTCATCTCTCCCTCCCATTCATCTCCCCCTCCCGCTCATCTCCCCCTCCCGCTCATCTCTCCCTCCCGCTCATCTCTCCCCTCCCGCTCATCTCCCCCCTCCCTCTCATCTCCCCCCTCCCGCTCATCTCTCCCTCCCGCTCATCTCTCCCTTCCCTTCATCTCCCCCCTCCCGCTCATCTCCCCCCTCCCGCTCATCTCCCCCCTCCCGCTCATCTCCCCCCTCCCGCTCATCTCCCCCCTCCCGCTCATCTCTCCCTCCCGCTCATCTCTCCCCTCCCGCTCATCTCCCCCCTCCCGCTCATCTCCCCCCTCCCGCTCATCTCCCCCCTCCCGCTCATCTCCCCCCTCCCGCTCATCTCTCCATCCCATTCATCTCCCCCCTCCCGCTCATCTCCCCCCTCCCGCTCATCTCTCCCTCCCGCTCATCTCCCCCCTCCCGCTCATCTCCCCCCTCCCGCTCATCTCTCCCTCCCGCTCATCTCTCCCTCCCGCTCATCTCTCCCTCCCGCTCATCTCCCCCTCCCGCTCATCTCCCCCTCCCGCTCATCTCTCCCTCCCGCTCATCTCCCCCCTCCCCCTCTACCAGGCGCACCAGCTGTGGATGTGCCGGGGGGATGTGATAACACACAGCGACCCCTCTTACCCCATCTCCCAACCTCATCTCCCAACCTCATCTTCCTCCTCCCCATCTCTCCCCCCACCCACTTCTCCCTCGCTCTTCTCCCCACAGCTGGCGCGCCTGCTGGACCTGATAGCGAATGGCGACCCCTCAGCGCGCATCCACGTCATCGCGCACTCCCACGGGGGCAACGTGCTGCTTAAAGCCATCGAGCTCGTGAGTGCTGCTTAAAGCCATCGAGCTCGTGAGTGCTGCTTAAAGCCATCGAGCTCGTGAGTGCTGCTTAAAGCCATCGAGCTCGTGAGTGCTCTTGTGCTTAAAGCCCGGGTGGTCAAACGGCTCCATTTTCCTTCGATTTCCCTCTTTTATCATGTACCGTTTTCATTGCTCTTTGAATTCAAAGTTTCCTCCTCTCTCTCCTCTTCCCCACCCGCTGCCACCCTGCCCCCCTGCCACAAACCGCACGGCAGTACATGAAGCGCCAGGGAAGCAAGGCCGTGTCGGACCTCCCGCCACCTGTGCTCCAACGATTTTGGGCGGCGTACAAGAGCAGATACGATTTGATTCGCCACTGGCGGAAGCCGGATGTTTCCAACACCTTGTGGCGCTTCTTCCCTTTCCTTGTTGTCAAGAGGAGGTACAATGCTCACCCTCCCTCCCTCCCCTCCCCTCCCTCCCCTCCCTCCCCTCCCTCCCTTCCCCTCACTCCCTGCCCCTCCCCTCCCTCACCTCTCCCCTGCTGTAGAAACTTCTACCTTTCCCGTCTTCCTCTACCTCCCCTCGTCTGCACTTGTGCTCCCCTCTTTCCCCGTGAGCGCTGGCGTGAACCTCCTTGGGCACCTCCTTGGGCACCTCCTTGCTTGCCCCACCATCCCCCATGCGCCCACGCTCCCACGCCCCAACGCCCCCACCCCCCATCCACGTATGTGCCCACCTCGCCATGTCTTCACACTGCCGTCCCCCCAAAATGCCGTCGCCCCCATGCATGCATGCAGCATGGGTGGGCGCGAAGCAGCATGGGTGGGCGCGAAGCAGCATGGGTGGGCGCGAAGCAGCATGGGTGGGCGCGAAGCAGAATGGGTGGGCGCGAATCAGCATGGGTGGGCGCGAAGCAGCATGTGCAATGGAGGGGGGCTCCCTCTCAGCACTGCCAGCCTGCCACCAGCGGGGAACAGTCCCTTCCTGTTTTTGTTGCTCCAGCCCCCTTCTCCCCCCCTCTTTTCCCCGTTCCTCCTCCCCCCCTTCCCGGGCGCAGCATGGCGGGGAAGAGGGAGGGGCGGGTGAAGGAGCAGTACCCGTGGGCTTCCCACCGCTGGCTCGACTCGCTCCTCCGCCTGCCTGCGCAGCGGCAGCGCCTCTTCCTCGCCCACCGCCTGGCCACGAGCCCGCTGTCGAACGCACTGGGCGGGGTGGTGTTCCTGGGCACGCCCTTTTATATGAAGAGCTGGGAGCGCAACGGCATGGTGCTGCTGCTCGCCACCACCGCCGTGTCCGTGGGGGTGACGTTCGTGGTCATGTGGGGCTACGTGCTGCTGTGGCGCGTCGTCGTGCTCGCTATTGCCGGCCAGCTTGCCAGGTACTGGACATGGTGGCGGACCGGCGGTGCTGAAATCGTATAAGGTTTGAAGATTTTATAGTGACAGGTTTTAGGCTTAGCATGCAGGTGGGGTTTGGTGAGAACCCTTGCTCTCCTTTCCACCAGTCTCTCCCTCCCTCCCTCCATCCCGTGCCTCCTGTGCATGGCGTGGCATGGCGTGGCATGGCGTGGCATGGCATCAGCACCACCACTCCGAGCTACGTGCCCTTCTCCCTCGCCACTGCTGTTCTCATCTTCGCCATCATCAGTGTGGCCATGGAGGTGCGTTTGATTGTATGGTATTATGTATTGGCACTCACGTATGGTGTTATGTATCGGCATTCATGTGATTGTATGGTATTATGTATTGGCATTCACATGATTTTATGGTATTATGTATTGGCATTCACATGATTGTATGGTATTATGTATTGGCACTCACGTGATTGTATGGTACTATGTACTGGCATTCACGTCTCCTCTCCATCTCCTCTCCATCTCCTCTCCATCTCCTCCTCCTCTCCGTCTCCTCTCCATCGCCTATCCCTCGCTCCCCTCTCCTCCGCTGCCTCTCCCTCCCCAGCCATTACCACCCATCCCAGCTTTCTCCTGCACGGCTTTCCACAACCACAGAACCCATCACACATCACTCTCGCTGCACCCTCTTTTTTTTTTCCTCGCTCTGCTTTCTTGGTCCACTAATCCTCTCTTTCCTCCCCATCTCTCTCTCTCTCTCCCTCCCTCCTCCCCCCGTCTCTCCCCTCTCGGCCCTCCCCGCCCCAGCTCTGGCGTAGCACAGCCTTTTACAGCGGCAACATCTACCACTCGCCCGGCTTTGATTGGTCGCATGCCATGTCAGCACTCGTCATCCATGCCGGCAAATTAGACGAAGCCAGCCTGGCGCTCTCCACCGAGCCTATCGCCCGAGCCTACATCTTCCCGCAGCTGGCCTCCATGCTCAAGCTCCCCTTCTGGAAACCCCTCCCGCGCCGCCCGGTCACGAGAAAATGTTCCGAATGGACGCTGTACATCAGCAACACTGCCCGGATCCTCATGTGGAACGTAATTTTCATCCTGCCCGCAGCGGCAGTGGCGCTGCTGTCGCGCGTGCTGGCGCCGGTGGTAATCTCAATGGTGCGCAACGTGATCGTGACGGTGAGCTTCGGGCTGTCCCCCAAGGAGCTGAGCTTCGCCAGTGTGTTTGTGGACGAACGACTCGACCTCGGCTTGGCGTCACAACACATCGAACACTGGAACGTGCAGGTGCGTGTTGAGTCGAGTCCACTCCACTCCAGTGTCCACCTCCACCTCCACCTCCACCTCCACCTCCACCTCCACCCACATGGCATCATGCGCCCACATGGCATCATGTGCCCACATGGCATCATGCGCCCACATGGCATCATGCGCCCACATGGCATCATGCGCAGCATTAGCACAACAATATAGAGCAGGTGCAGCACTGCAGCACATGCAGACGGTGCAGCAGATGCAGCAGTAGACCAGGATTGGAGGTATCTCACAACTATCAAATCGACTTCTCCCTCCTTGTTTTTTTCAGGAAAACGAGTCATTTCCCTCTTCCTTGCACCTCCCCTCCCTTCCTCTCTCCCCACCTTCCCAGAAACTGCTGGCGCTGGCCAAGACGAGGTCGCTGCAGGGCGAGCTGATGGAGGGGTATGAGGACGACACGTGTGACATGGGGGAGGCTCTATTTGGGGACGGGCTACCTGAGGAGGGGGTTCCTCGGGAGGGCATACCTCGAAAGAAGGTACCCGTGACAGGGGTACGTGGAGAGGGGCTGATTGGAAGAGAGGGGAAGGTGGAAGAGAGAAAGGAGGAGGAGGGGGTTGGAGGTGGGGAGGTGAGAGTGAGGAGGCAAGGGGACGCGGACGAAAGATCGGGTGGTGAGGGCGAAGGGAGTCCTCTGATAGACTCGACACAGACAGATGCGACAAGACCACAGCAGGAGGGCTGCATAGATGCAGCTGAGCCTCTTGACTCGCGAGCACGGCTCTCAGGTACACTGGGCAGCGGTCCACCAGTGGAACCCGCTGCTGCGGCCCTGCAGCAGGTGGCAGCAGGAGGAGGCGAGGAGGGAGTGGAGGGCCGCGCAGCCTGCAGCTCGATGCGGAGCGTGAGCCGCTTCCGACGGCGCGTCACGTTCACCGAGCGGTCTCTGCGACAGGGGGAGAGGAGAGCGGAGGGGGGTGAGGATGGGGGTGAGGAGGGGGGTGAGGAGGGGGGTGACGGCAAGGAGAAGCGAGGAGGGGAAGGAAGCAGCTCAGAGGGAGCTGGAAGTGCAGCATGGAAGGGGGGAGTGGGCGGTTCATCAAGAGATGGTTTGGGCGGGGCCTCTGTCGGGGATGCACATGAAGAGATGAAAGGCAAGCAGCAGCGGGGAGTGGAGGAGAAGGGCATGGGGTCCAGGCACGGCAGTGGCAGCAGGGGTGAGCGGCTGGCATATGAGTTCCTGTGGGACGATGGAGTGCTGGAGGCAGCCGCGCGCGAGTCAGAGACGTACACGCTGCTCAGGCCGCAGCTGCACGCCATCACCCACAACCCCCGCCTCTCTGACCAGGAGTGCGTGCGGCAGGTGAGGCAGCAGACAGACAGGTGAGGCAGCAGACAGACAGGTGAGGCAGCAGACAGACAGGTGAGGCAGCAGACAGACAGGTGAGGCAGCAGACAGACAGGTGAGGCAGCAGACAGACAGGTGAGGCAGCAGACAGACAGGTGAGACAGCAGACAGAGAGGTGAGGCAGCAGACAGAGAGGTGAGGCAGCAGACAGACAGGTGAGGCAGCAGACAGACAGGTGAGGCAGCAGACAGAGAGGTGAGGCAGCAGACAGACAGGTGAGGCAGCAGACAGAGAGGTGAGACAGCAGACAGACAGGTGAGACAGCAGACAGACAGGTGAGGCAGCAGACAGACAGGTGAGGCAGCAGACAGACAGGTGAGACAGCAGACAGACAGGTGAGGCAGCAGACAGACAGGTGAGGCAGCAGACAGACAGGTGAGGCAGCAGACAGACAGGTGAGGCAGCAGACAGACAGGTGAGACAGCAGACAGACAGGTGAGGCAGCAGACAGACAGGTGAGGCAGCAGACAGACAGGTGAGGCAGCAGACAGACAGGTGAGACAGCAGACAGACAGGTGAGGCAGCAGACAGACAGGTGAGGCAGCAGACAGAGAGGTGAGGCAGCAGACAGACAGGTGAGGCAGCAGACAGAGAGGTGAGACAGCAGACAGACAGGTGAGACAGCAGACAGACAGGTGAGGCAGCAGACAGACAGGTGAGGCAGCAGACAGACAGGTGAGACAGCAGACAGACAGGTGAGGCAGCAGACAGACAGGTGAGGCAGCAGACAGACAGGTGAGGCAGCAGACAGAGAGGTGAGACAGCAGACAGACAGGTGAGACAGCAGACAGACAGGTGAGGCAGCAGACAGACAGGTGAGGCAGCAGACAGACAGGTGAGGCAGCAGACAGAGAGGTGAGACAGCAGACAGACAGGTGAGACAGCAGACAGACAGGTGAGGCAGCAGACAGACAGGTGAGGCAGCAGACAGACAGGTGAGGCAGCAGACAGACAGGTGAGGCAGCAGACAGACAGGTGAGACAGCAGACAGACAGGTGAGGCAGCAGACAGACAGGTGAGACAGCAGACAGACAGGTGAGGCAGCAGACAGACAGGTGAGGCAGCAGACAGACAGGTGAGGCAGCAGACAGAGAGGTGAGACAGCAGACAGACAGGTGAGGCAGCAGACAGACAGGTGAGGCAGCAGACAGAGAGGTGAGACAGCAGACAGACAGGTGAGACAGCAGACAGACAGGTGAGGCAGCAGACAGACAGGTGAGGCAGCAGACAGAGAGGTGAGACAGCAGACAGACAGGTGAGACAGCAGACAGACAGGTGAGGCAGCAGACAGACAGGTGAGACAGCAGACAGACAGGTGAGGCAGCAGACAGACAGGTGAGGCAGCAGACAGACAGGTGAGGCAGCAGACAGAGAGGTGAGACAGCAGACAGACAGGTGAGGCAGCAGACAGACAGGTGAGACAGCAGACAGACAGGTGAGGCAGCAGACAGACAGGTGAGGCAGCAGACAGACAGGTGAGGCAGCAGACAGACAGGTGAGACAGCAGACAGACAGGTGAGGCAGCAGACAGACAGGTGAGGCAGCAGACAGAGAGGTGAGGCAGCAGACAGACAGGTGAGGCAGCAGACAGACAGGTGAGGCAGCAGACAGAGAGGTGAGACAGCAGACAGACAGGTGAGGCAGCAGACAGACAGGTGAGGCAGCAGACAGAGAGGTGAGACAGCAGACAGACAGGTGAGGCAGCAGACAGACAGGTGAGGCAGCAGACAGACAGGTGAGGCAGCAGACAGACAGGTGAGGCAGCAGACAGAGAGGTGAGACAGCAGACAGACAGGTGAGGCAGCAGACAGACAGGTGAGGCAGCAGACAGAGAGGTGAGGCAGCAGACAGACAGGTGAGGCAGCAGACAGACAGGTGAGGCAGCAGACAGAGAGGTGAGACAGCAGACAGACAGGTGAGGCAGCAGACAGACAGGTGAGGCAGCAGACAGAGAGGTGAGGCAGCAGACAGACAGGTGAGGCAGCAGACAGAGAGGTGAGACAGCAGACAGACAGGTGAGGCAGCAGACAGACAGGTGAGGCAGCAGACAGAGAGGTGAGACAGCAGACAGACAGGTGAGGCAGCAGACAGACAGGTGAGGCAGCAGACAGAGAGGTGAGACAGCAGACAGACAGGTGAGGCAGCAGACAGACAGGTGAGGCAGCAGACAGAGAGGTGAGACAGCAGACAGACAGGTGAGGCAGCAGACAGAGAGGTGAGACAGCAGACAGACAGGTGAGGCAGCAGACAGACAGGTGAGGCAGCAGACAGACAGGTGAGGCAGCAGACAGAGAGGTGAGACAGCAGACAGACAGGTGAGGCAGCAGACAGACAGGTGAGGCAGCAGACAGACAGGTGAGGCAGCAGACAGAGAGGTGAGACAGCAGACAGACAGGTGAGACAGCAGACAGACAGGTGAGGCAGCAGACAGACAGGTGAGGCAGCAGACAGAGAGGTGAGACAGCAGACAGACAGGTGAGACAGCAGACAGACAGGTGAGGCAGCAGACAGACAGGTGAGACAGCAGACAGACAGGTGAGGCAGCAGACAGACAGGTGAGGCAGCAGACAGAGAGGTGAGACAGCAGACAGACAGGTGAGGCAGCAGACAGACAGGTGAGGCAGCAGACAGAGAGGTGAGACAGCAGACAGACAGGTGAGGCAGCAGACAGACAGGTGAGACAGCAGACAGACAGGTGAGGCAGCAGACAGACAGGTGAGGCAGCAGACAGAGAGGTGAGGCAGCAGACAGACAGGTGAGGCAGCAGACAGACAGGTGAGGCAGCAGACAGAGAGGTGAGACAGCAGACAGACAGGTGAGGCAGCAGACAGACAGGTGAGGCAGCAGACAGACAGGTGAGGCAGCAGACAGAGAGGTGAGACAGCAGACAGACAGGTGAGGCAGCAGCGCCCAGAGCTGCAGGGCATGTGCTGGTGTGCACACGGGAGGTCACGAGCAATGATGAGGCGTTTCGCACACAACCTGCAGTTATGAAGCGGATGCTCTTGATGGCGCATGCACGGGCTGGTTCGACAGCTGCCGGCCGGTTCGTCCTCGCCCACCGCAATTTCTCCGAAACTCACAGACCCTCGGGGTTAGTGTTTTAGGCTTTTAGCATGCCCTGAGTTTTTGTACGTCACTCCCTTCTCTGAAGGTGCCACATGGTTCCGTTGCGAATCTTAGGGCTCAAAGGAGCCACACATGAGTGTGGTATACTATTCTTCCCATGGTGTCCTCGCCCTTATCTTCCCCTCCTCCCTCCCTTGTGCAGGTGAAGCAGCTGTGTGTGATGATCGAGGAGCGCTTTGGTGAGCTTAGGGTGCCCTTCGTCTAGCATGTGATTGTCCCCGCTTTACCCTCGTCCGCTTGTCTCCGCCTCCTCCCTTGTGCAGGTGAAGCAGCTGTGTGTGATGATCGAGGAGCGCTTTGGCGAGCTGACGGGGCGCTTTGACCTCAACCACGGGGCGTACTTCCGAGATCCCCGCATCATCGGGGCTATGGTGCACTTCCTGACCCACAGGGAGCTCCCTGATTGGTCCAGGGAGATTGATGCAGATGTGCTGCGCGCTGAAGAGAGGATCAGATTTGGGAGGCTTAACCAGGGGTGAAGGCGGATACTAGGTAGGTTGGTAGGTAACTGGGACGGACTTGTAGCTCGAGTTGGGATGGTCTGGATCAGAGCTCAAACGATTTGGCACTATCGTTCAGGTACCCTGTGAAGCGAATCCTGATTGCATTACAGAGAATCCTGGGGTACCGTCATACCCCGGATAGAAGCGCAGGCCTCGGATAAGCGCCGGCGCTTATAAAGGGATGAGGGCGCTTATATCCGGTCCTCGATTATAAGCGCACCCCCTAAAAATTTATGATTTATTGTAAGCGCATGTCGAATATTATCTGAAACTTAGTCAAAACACAGGAACGAATTTCACCTTACCAGGGAAGCGAAGTACAGTTCCACTTTCCCCACTTACATCACACTTGCTGCGCGTCTAGTCAGCACGCGCTGTCGCTTAGTCAGCATGTGTTGCCAGGGAATCAATCCCTGCCAAGTTGCTCGAGAGTCAAATTCGCAACCCCATATATTTTCGACTCGATTACAATTGGCAGAACGAGATCTACTGTTTGGTGTTAAAAAAAAACTTAATTTCATTTTGCCGTTATATAAACGCCGGCGCTTATAAATTTCCTCAATTATAAGCGCACCCCCTAAAAAAAAGTGTTTTATTACAACCCCAGGGGCGCTTCTATCCGGGGTATGACGGTAGCTGTAGACATGCCCATTGTGTAAAATATATAAACCAGCATACTTTCAAATACCGTACCATCGTTATCTCTTGCTTTCAATAAGTCCAGTTGAAATCGAATACTAGTACCCTTTCTGTCAGGTAGGGCCTCAGAGTCTCAAACTAAGCTCAAAGTTGTCTGATTGGTCAGACTCGTCACTTTCCTTTAGCATGGGGGTTCCGAGTCATGCGGAGATAAGAGGGTGCTGAATGGGAGTCGAGTAGCCGAACAAGTCGACATTGCTATGCCCTCCTACCCCTCAACCTCCTTCCCCATCATACTGCTCCTTCCCCATCGTACTGCTCCTTCCTCATCATACTGCTCCTTCCCCATCGTACTGCTCCTTCCCCATCATACTGCTCCTTCCCCATCATACTGCTCCTTCCCCATCGTACTGCTCCTTCCCCATCATATTGCTCCTTCCCCATCATACTGCTCCTTCCCCATCGTACTGCTCCTTCCCCATCATACTGCTCCTTCCCCATCATACTTCTCTTTCCCCGCTCCCCCGCCCACCACCCCTCCACCTTCCAGCCCGCCTCCATGGCACCCCAAAGCTGCTCTTCCTTTTCGCCCCTGCTCCCTACTCGCGCTTTTCAGCCCACTCTCCCGGTGCTCGTGTGCCCTAATCCACGTTTCGCCCATCTCTCCCCACCGCCAGCTGCCCCATCCTCCACCTCACTGTTCAACAGCCCATCCTCTTCAGCAACTGCCACCCGTTCCCTCCTCCGCTGCCCCCCTCTCCCTTCACCTCTACGTCTGCCATGTCTCCTCCTGAACTTCCCCCTCTGGTCTGAAAATGGTCGTGGTAGCCAGGAAGCGGTGGAAGAGGAAGGGGATGCAGACGAGTTGATGTGGAGGGAGAGGGAAGAACGGAGAAAGGGTGGATGGGAGTGGTGGCGATGGGGAAGATGAGGAAAGGGGGGGAGGAGGGGGGAGGGGGCACGGGGGTTTACACCCGTACTGAGGAAATGTGGGTGTGAAAGCATCCTGTACTGAGAAAATGTGGGTGTGAAAGCATCCTGTACGGAGGAAATGTGGGTGTGAAAGCATCATGTATGGAGGAAATTGATAAAAGGTCCTGAAATCATTGTAAGATGACGAAATTGGCACGAGATACCTGAAAGCACATGTGCTGATAAAATGCATGTGTGCATGATAAAATGCATGAAGAACAGAAGGGATAAAGACCATTGTGACTTGCATGAAATGCTGATAATTTTGTTGGCTAGTGACTCGATACATAAGATACAGCGCTTGGTGTAAAAATAATATAAGCAAAGAAGGTTGCTGACAGCATCAGTGATAACGGACTGGCAAATGGTTAAAAGGAAGACGTATGAGGGAGCGAGGGGGGATGGGAGTGGGGAACAATATTGTTACGTATGAGAAGTGGGTGGGGAGGGGGGGCGGGGGAATGGAGGAGGGAACTTTGCTAAGAAAATGTGCAGAAAAGTCAAGTGTGTACTATCTTATATTCAATCAGATAGCAGCAATTAGGTCTCAAGAGAGAGGGCATTCTGAGAGCAATTACATCAATGGTGAAGGTTCATAGGTTGAACGGGAAAGAAAGAGCAAGGAGGAGAATCGTGGACACAAAGTGGAGAAGAGTGATGAAAAGGAAGAAGGCACTGAAAGTATGAAGATTGGCCGATGGGAAGGCCAAACAAGACAAGGAAGCGCTTCTCCAAAGAGGAATAAAATGCTTGACGCTGGAAGTATAAAAACAAAGGGCATGAATGAGAAGGCATGAGCTGATGGGGTTCATTGCCACCACTTGAAGGAGAAGATCATAAGGGCTTCACAAAAAGCAAGTGAGCATGCGTGTTCTCCCCTGCTCTACCATTCCTCCCTACTTCACCCCTCCTCTGCCGAAACACACCCCACCTGCCATCCCTTTTCACCACGAACCACTCCCTCACAGCATTATGTTGCAATGAATGGAACCAGCGCAAACCACTGAAAGCACCATGAGCTGATGAGAATGGCATGAGGCTCATGAGCTCGTGAACGGGTGATGAGCTGACAAAAGGGGCATGTGTGGGTAGAGAATGATGAGCTGATAAGGCTCCTATGAGAAACTGAAGGCATCATGACGTCATGAGCTATATAATTAGCATGAAATGGTGAAAGCATCGCAAGCTGATGAGCCTGGCATGTGATGCAGCATCACATACAGCAAAAAAAACAAAGGCAAGTACAGAACACACAGCAGCAACAACAACTTCAGCTCATGTGAAAATATAAGGATACTCCTGTCCTGGGTTGCTTCAATCATATGCATTGCTCACGTAGTTCCAGATAGATAAAAGAAGAGGAGGGGGGTGGTAGGGGGAAGGTAGTGATATGGTACTATGGAGATGAGCTGAGAAGTGAGAACGTAGTGATATGGTATTATGGAGACGATGTAAACGGCAAGGGAGTTGTGAGCTGATGAACTCGGAATGAGACAGCGATCACATCATCAGCTGAGGAGACTGCTAGGAGAAACAACGGATGATGACATGAGCTGATGAATCTGGCAAGAAATGGTGAAACAGTTACCAAGCAGGACGTGATGATACGAAAAGGAAAAGAACAATTGCGGGTTGGTTCAAGCATAACTACAATAGGTGGTGGCTATGCGCAGAGATAAGAAGATGGGAATATATGGGGGAAGAGAGTGTAAGTGGAATGCTTTGAACTCCCAACATCACCTCAGAAAGAAATGTTAACAAAAAAACACCTTGAAAACGACTCCTATAAAGATCGGGGCAAAAGTTCCAGCCACGAATGGAGAGGAGAAGGTGGAGTAGGTGGGTGGAAAGAAAAAAGTTGGACATGAGGGGGAAGAATGAAATAAATAGGGAGGAAGAGGAGGGGACGCAGATGGGAGGGAAGTGGTAGAAACAGGGTGAAGTCATGACGAGTCGGTTGCCATGGCAGATGTTTCGAAGCAGCACTGCATACTGGCGTCAGAACCACATGGCATGATGCCATGACAAGAGAGCATACTACTGCTGACCAAGTCAACATGAGCATTCACCATCAAGTCACTGTCTCTACCTCACCCATCGGCACAAAACACCCGCCAACCATTCCTCACTCCCATGCACCACTCAGTTGCAACACATAACCATAGTGCATCAACTACAGAAATATATAGATTTCGCAGCAACGGCAATAAACTTGAAAATTATCTATATTGAATTGCAGATGTCTACTAATCAAGAGCCAAGCAGGAGGATGGTGCAGCAGCGGATCCAACGGCATGCTCCTCCCCCTCATGCCATGCCTCCCCATTCCAGCTCACCACATTCCTCCACCTCACCTCCCATCTCTCCCACAACACCCTGCAAGCAGGGTGGAAAAGGGGCAAGTCCCTCCATGCACCTCCCTCTAGCCCCCACCAGCCATGCCATCTCACCATCACTCACCTCCCTTCACACTCCCATTGAACACGCCCTGGATCCCATCTTCTGCCAATGCTGCTGCTCTTTTCTATTTTAACCCCCGTCTGCTGTTACTGCCGCTGCTGTTGTGCCTTTCACACCTTCAATTGGCAGCAGCAGCAGCTGCTGCTCTTTATTATTTTTTCACGCCTCCAATTGGCTACTGCTATTGCTGCTACACTTTTTTTGTTTCATGCCTTCACTAGGCTGCTGCCTTGCTTGGCTTGGGAATGCCACTGGCCGTCGCTGCTGCTGCGGCCATCCTTGGCATCGCGCTGGCTGCAGGTCTCGGAATTCCACATGCGCCAACCACACCCGCCTTCGGGCTGAGGGGAGCCGCTGCTGCTCCGGCTGGTGCAGCTGCGCTTGTTGTTGCTGCTGCCGCTGCTACTGCTGGGCTGCTTGCACAAGGGCCATGGATGGCCGCTGCCTTTGCACGCACAGCCTTCTCCGACAAGCCCTTCACGCTTGCGGCCTTAGCAGCACCGCCACTCTTCACATCTGCCTTCCCCGCACCTGCAGCCTTAACACCAACCGCAGCCGCTGGACTGGCGTCACCTTAGCTGGCGTCGCCTTAGCTGGCGTTGCCTTCACTCGCGTCGCCTTACTAGCCGGCGTGGCTTTGGTTGCTGCAGAAGTGACGGTCGCTTGACCGCTCTGCACTGCTCTGGGCTTCACAACATCAGTGGTACCCATCACATTCTGGGTCTGGGCGCTGGGCGGCTTACGTCACAAAAAATGGAACGCCCAAATGTTGTCAACATTTGGCGTATCCAGCAGCCATGCGCACCTGGGCATGGCTGAGAAGCTGTGTGCACTCTCAAGGCAATAATTTCGGGCCTAGCATAGCATATGCACTGTCACACTTGCTACTACCATTGCAACCCCTTTCACATTGTGTGCTGAGGATGAGTTGGTGTTGAGCGCAGCCTGTTTGGATCTGTTTGACGTACAGAAGTGGCCGATAGTAGTGTAAAAACATTGTCTTGCAACTGTGAAGTTACATTGCGAGTAATGCAAATCAGATTTGTCTTAAAAAAAAAGGTCAAACATAACTTTCTTTAAAACAAAATAAACATTACAGCGACTTCACACGCTACATCTCTCCCCTCCAAGCTATGGTGATGACCAAAGGGTAACATTTAAAATATTGAGGCATCTTGGGGCTTGCATGTCATGCTTTTGCGTTGCAACCAAGACAGAGGGAAGGGGTGGTGACAAGAACTCCAGCACAAAAGGGTCGACAGCAGTGAGCGACTGCGGATTCTGGGGCGGCCTTAGGGCAACTCCTCGCGGCATGGGCCAGCCCACCTATTCAGATACCACAGTCCCAGAGTCACAAACGACTCCACCATGTGCATGGTCCTCTACACAACTATGACCGGCACAATGTCGTAGCTCAGCTCGTCGTCAGAGGGCTGCATCCTCGTGCAGCCCGTGCACTCGTCCACCTGGGACGGGTACCAATGCCTCACAAAGGCGAATGCCTCCCCCGCCGGGTGCGCGTCCTCGATGTTCAGCATCAGCGTTAAGAGAAGGTGCACACGCCCGTGCACGGTCTCCCCGCTCCCGTTCTCGTACTCGATGAAGGAGAAGGCGGGAGCGCCATGGTGCGAGACGCTGGTGTGGACATAGTGCGGCCTGATCAGGCCGTAGTCCGTCTCACGAGCTGGTAGAGCCAGCGCCGTGTGGACCTGTTGGCACGAGAGGGTGTAGGGTGGACATGAGAGGTGGCAGGGTTTAGAATAGTTGTGACTACAGGGTGGAATATGAGGGCGATCAGGGGAGAGAGAGGCAGATTCGACTTCAGTCATAACATGGAGGAGATGAGAGCAACAACTAGGGGTAAATGGCCTAGGGGCAGGGGTGTATTTACAAACGGTGCATGGGCTACATTGGATGGTGCAGAGCTGCAATGCGAGAGTTGGAAGGGGGGAAACAGATTGTGAAATTGTTGGAAACGGTAGTACACATAAAAGGATATGAATGGACACAGAGGGGAATTAATTAAATTCATGGTAAGGGTTGAGGATGCAAGGGGGAAGGCGAGGGAGCAAAAGTTGACATCAGGTGAGAAGTATACACGCAATGGGTGGAGAAATAAGGGAGTCAACGGGTGTACAGCAGGACATGTCGGAAGTTGTCTTAATGGCAATAGACGCACGCACTTACCCACGCCGGAAAAGAGACGTAGCCATAGAGGCGCATCAGGTACGAGTAGGGCCCGATGCCTCCGGGGATCGCGGCATCATACGTCGCATACAGGTCTAGGGGAGACTGCTCCCTGTCCTTGATCGCACTGTGCATCCTGGATCGCTGGCGGCACAGCTGGGGCAGCCCACCGGCGATCGCCTGCCACATGCCGACATGTCGGGGGGCAAGGCATGGTGAGCAACTCAGTAAAAGCCAAACAAGCTACCGGGGCCAAACACCAGCTTTCTACACACAATCCACTAAACTATCACCACCCCTCGGACATACCGCTGACATTAAAGAGCCTTACATGCATGCTTACCCGGCGCATCGCGGTGTTGTACTTGCGATCGCCCTCGAGGTTGGTTGGGAGGCGGGTTAGTAGAGTAGCGTTGGTGTTGTGCTGCGCAATCACACGCCCCACGTCCCAATGGTTGGACCGTTGGTATGGCCTCTTGCAGGTGCGGATGTGTGCGTTCTCGTACACTGCCGCGGAGTACTCTCGTGGCAGCCCCCCGCCTTGAATCGCCTCTGTAAGGTGAAGCAGCAGGTGCACCTTCACAAGGTTCCACCCAGATTTTTCGCGTGGAAAGGTGCTTTCCACCAAGCGCACCATCCAAAACGCATGGAAACAAATGGAATAAGTGGCAGCCATTAGACTAGACTCCCGCATAACGCATGCGGCATAACTGCAGCACACGTGGAAAAGCATACACACAACATACCTACGAGTGATAGTGTCGAACACGCACAGACTCTCATCTGTGTGCTTCGCTGCCCGCACGAATGTCTCGTGCCAGTCCAGAAAGGCGACAATCATGCGGCTACAGATGACCGCAACTTCCCCCTCCAGCACGAAGGGTAAAATCTGCCACACAGGAAGCGCGAAGTTAGCAAAGGCCATCTCGTGCTTTGGATAAGTGTAAAAGGCCTTGCAAGGACCAGGCACTTGAAGGTAGGGCTCACCATCATGACACCGGCGTGGTCCGACGTGGTGAAGTTGGCACCTGAGACCCAGTAGCTTGCGTCTCCAGGAGTTAGCAGTCCCGCCTGCCTTACGCCTGGGTGTAGTGCATTCTGGCGCATGCACCAGACAGCAACGAAAACAAACAAATTTAAACAGCACATTAGACATCTTGGGCCGCAGTCGCATTGACCTCGTGAGGTTGCATCACAATTGGCAAATGCCTAGGGGCATACAAACCCGTCTAAGATGGTGGCGCGTGCATCGGGGCCCCGTAGTGCAGCGCGAAGGTACATCCAGAACCCGAGGTAGATGATGTGTAGGATGTCTGGCATCTGGGACAGGTAGGTGTTTCCCCAAAGTTTACGGGAGAAGTTCCACGCCCAGAGGAACGACTGCATGCACAGAGAAAAAAGGAGGTAAACACTTGGCCAATTGCATGGGCTGAACAACAAGGCCACGTCAGGCGCTAAACTCAAACTTAGAGCCGACACCTACCACAACACACGGCCTGGAGTACGTCATGGCTAGCCGAGGGTTGGCAATCAGTGTTGATTGCTGGTCCACAGAGCACGACTCCGACGCAGTTGCCGTCATATTCCTGAGCTGCCCCCTAACCACGTAGCACAGGGAGCATGACATCTGACTGCCATGCTGCTAAGTGCACGAAACCTTGCAGGTTTCTGGGAAGTCTGCTACGTAGGAGAAGAGCAGAGGCCAGATGACCCGGTCCACCCCCCGTGGATCGCGAGCCGCAATCCCCCTGTGTGCAGTGCAGCACGGAATCAAAGAGGGTTTATGATTATGCGATACAAATGGAATCACATTTATAGATGCAAGTTAGGTGACAGGGGGTAGGGCGGTCATAGGCAAGTGCTCAGTGAGGCAAGGCCGAATATACGAACGTGCGGTGTGAGGCAAGGGGGGACATAGGCATGTGCAGTGTGAGGCAAAGGCGGACATAGGCACGTGCGGTGTGAGGCAAAGGGGGAGTGAGGTAAGGGCGGATTGAGGCAAGGGCAGAGAGAGGCAAGGGCGGAAAGAGGCCAGGGGGGCAGAGCCAAGGGCGGACTGAGGCAATGACGGAAAGAGGTAAGGGCGGAATAAGGCCAGAGCGGACATAGCGAAGAGCAGACTGATGCTTTGGCTGGGCCATTGGCTGCTGGCACTCATGTGTATGATGCGGCAATCAGGTCAGCGAGGACCACCTGCATCACAGCTTGAAAGAGCTGCACCTTCTGCTCGGCCATCATTCCATGGACAGGCATCGAGAGTAGTGCAAGCAAAATCTTCCAGAATCACCCCAACGGAGACGGAGGTGGATGTTGGCGAGGCTTAGGTAAACCGCCCAAACCTTCACGCGCTCGTTCCCGCTGAGAATCGTTGCATCACTTGAAATTATGATGGGTGCCACCACCTGGCCCGGGCCACAAATCTCGTCCAGGGCGTTATGCCAACAACAAACACAACATCGGCAGCTGTGCACCCGATCAACACAAAAACAGAGCAATCAACTAGGCAACCAGGACTGTGAAAAGAGCCAAACAGCATATGGAGTAACTCAGAACAGTCGCGCCTTAAACTACTTACATCCCCGATACACCACCCATACCTGTGCGGCTTCACACAGTATACCAGTCTCTGGCCTAGTGTACACGCGTCCCGCCACCGAGTTTACCAGAAGGGCAAACAGCTGGAAGCCATCTGCATTGTCAAGGTGCCCGGGGAACTTCATGACTACCTGCGTCTGAGCAAGTGCGGATAGAGGCAAGGGCAGGCGGAGGCAAGGGCGGAAAGAGGCAAGGGCGGACAGAGGCAAGGGCAGACAGAGGCAAGGGCGGACAGAGGCAAGGGCGGACGGAGGCAAGGGCGGACGAAGGCAAGGGCAGACAGAGGCAAGGGCGGACAGAGGCAAGGGCGGACATAGGAAAGGGCTGACATAGGCACGTGCGGACAGAGGCAAGGGCGGACAGAGGCAAGTGCGGACAGAGGCAAGGGCGGAATGAGGCAAGGGAGGACATAGGCAAGGGCGGAATGAGGCACGGGCGGACATAGGCTGTTGGTGCAACCCTACGGTTTGCACTCAACTTGTTGTCTGTGTGCGTGCAGGCGTGTGTGCATGGAATGGAATGAGTGCATGAAATAAATATATATTTCATGCTTATCATAGTGTATGAATGATGGATCATGATGTCGAGTGTGTGTGTCAAGTCAATAGCGAATTATCGCTAGTCGCATGTAACGTGGTCATTTTGTGTGTCTTGGCGGTTTCTATTTTGCCGTGCATGGTTTCTATTTTGTCGCTTGTCGAACGTTCGGCGTGCCGTAGGTGTGTGCAGCAGACCCATCAAGAGCTCAAGGATGAGTTTGTGACGAAGAACCCGAGCCTTGGTTTCAAGCTTCAAGTGATTTCGAAGCTCGCCAAAAGGGTACACCTCAAGATATTGAAGATAGTTACATTACTTTGTGTAGTGTAACATTTCACTTGGTGTAGGCCCTAGTGAAGGGTAGTTTCGAGACCCTTCGTGGTTGGGGACAGTGTGGCACTGTTCCACATCACTGTACCTCGGCTCTTGGGGTTTGTAGGAGCTGGGAGTCATTCCCAACTCGTAACTCTTGGTAACTCTTCCTATCTTGTGTTCTAAGACTATAGTGGCAGCCATAGTGCCGTTCGTTCAAATCAACGCTGTGTCGTCAATACTTAGTGAAATCGTGCGATCTAAATTGCCTATCATAGGTGACTTCACGACGCTCCAGATCCAAGTTGAATCAGGTCATTTGAAACTGTGACCACAACGCTATTAACGTTTGAAGCCGCTGTGCAGAAATCCGACTGTGCACTCTATCTTTCGTTTTAGGCACATTGGAGCCTATTGTGCTTATAACAAGTGGTATCAAAGCCTCTTGGAGCAGTTTCGACAATGGCTGGACCTGAGGAAAGGGGTGGCAGAGGTGCTGGTGGCAGTGCAGAAGCCCAAGCACAAGGCTAGGCCCGTGATTCAGCCGTGACGCCCGTGCAACCAAGTGTTGGCCCATCTAGGGATGAGTGTTTGGCCTTGACAAGTTCAACGGTGACAACTTTGCTGAATGGTCCTTCAGAATGGAGAATGTGTTTGATCACTATGAGCTGCTGGAGGTGATGGAAGGAACGGAGAAGCGTCCCGAGAACGACCCGGAGAAGAGCCCCTGGGTGCGGAAGAGCGCACAAGGCTACCTCCTACTTGGGCAAGCGTTGGGGAGCAGTCAAATCCGTCACATCAAGCCATTCGAATGTGAACCAGAGAAGGGACCAAAGGCATGGGCTGCTCTCAAGGGTGTACACGCTCCTGCAACAGCTGCGGTAGCTGTGGTGTTGGAACGGCAAATGGCGACGCAACGAATTGAAGAGGATGAAGCGGTTGAAGAAGGGGTGCAGAAATTCTTCGACTTGTTGACGCGGCTTGAGGGAGCTGATTTGAACTACAGTAAGCTCCAAAAGAAGACCAAGTTGCTGGCCCTACTCCGTGAGTCGTGGTCCTCACTCATCATCAACTTGAACCGTGATCTGCCCCGTCTCTCGCTTGAAGACGTGAAGCCCACGATCCTACAAGAGGACTTCCGCCGCCGTGAGTTGGCGAGTGCAGATGGCGCTGGGGCAGCGAGCATCGGCCGTGGATATGGTCGAGGAAGAGGCAGAGGACGAGGGGGAGAAAGGTTTGGTGGCAGCAGCTTCGGTGGAGGCCGCGGGAGTGGCGGTTACGGCAGCGACGACAAGAGCTACGGACTCGGTCGCGGCCGATTCGACGGCGCGTGTCACTATTGCCACAAGAGCGGACACATGTGGCGCGACTGCTACAAACTCCATGATGGTTGGACCCCTTCTCAAGGCCAAGAGGGTAGAGGAGCAGGAGGAGGGAGAGGAAGAGGCCGTGGAGGCCGTGGCGGTCGCGGTGGCGGAGCTGCAAACATGAAGAGCGGAGACAACGACAAGGACCTGAGCAACGATCAGTACCCGGGTCTATTCTACTTCGTTTCGACGCAAGTACCGACTGGTCCAGAGAAGGATGAAGGCTTTGAGGAGCCAGCAGCTGTGGGGAAGGTGACTCTACACCCTCTGGACTATTGGGTGATCGATAGTGGCGCTACCTATAGCATGACACCTCGCCCGGTCTTGCTCACCGAACTCGAACCGTCACCGGTGAAGCATGTCACATCGGCTTTGGGGCAGCGAGCAGAGGTGAAAGGCATGGGGAAGGCCATGTTCAAGGGTGCTGATGGGAAGATGGTGGGCCTCAAGAACGTGCTTTGGGTTCCCAGCCTTGCTGCAAACCTGATTTCCGTGCGGCGGTTGGCAAAGGCCGGCATGGACACGAACTCGAAGGGAGCCAAGACCTACACCGCGAGGCTTGGCGAGCGGATTCTATGGGACCTTTACGAGGATAGGGATGTCTACAACGAGATGTGGCAGATCCCTGTGGTCCCTATGCCTAAGGAGAGGCAAGTGGCAGCAAGCGGCAGCACCAAGGGTGAAGCGGTTGGTAGCGGGGATGGCGCGAACGGTCGCGTTAAGGAGAATGAGTCCAACAAGTTGAATCTTGGAGGGACCAGCAAGAAGAGTGAACCTAAGGAGAGTGATGCAGCAGCCAAGAAGCAGTACAAGGGTGAGGAAAACTCCAAGGCAGCAGCGAAGGAGGAGTACGGAGAGAGGATGT